GTTATAAGCCGCACTGCCGATTTTGGATCAAAATTTAGGATTTTTAGTGCGGCTTATGGTCGTGAAAATACGGTAGTCTTACTCTCATAATTAACATTACTTTTTTCCTTATTTTTGTAAAAGTGCAAAGCATGCATTTTTCTTAGTTTTGTTAAAATTGTTTTGCTTAGTGAATTTAAAGACTATAACTTGGTGTCTGGCCTTTAGAGATATCCTAGATCAGGGGTCTCCAATCTTGGCCACTTTAAGACTTGTGGACTTCAACTCCCAGAACTCTGGGAGTTAAAGTCCATAAGTCTTAAAGCAGCCATGGTTGGAGACCCCTGCCCTAAATTGCTTAGTTTTCTCAGAAAAGGGTTTACTTTTTTGGCCTTAAAGGGATCCCACAACTCAGATGGTGTTGATGGGTATGTACACAACAGGTTTTAAAGAATCAAGATTTAGATTTTCTAGAATTTGTCCAGAGAGATACAGAATCCTAGCAAGGATAGTAAGCATGGCTTTTCCTTACTAGAATCCTTCAATAAACAATGCCAGCTAACCATTTTTTCTGTTGTGTCCCCATAATGTGGCTTTCATCTCACACACCACCCATACTCTAGGCAGATTTAAATTGTTGTTTGCTGTAGAGCGTTCCCTTTTAAGTCAGGAAGAAAAGCCCTGGCTGTTTTACTGTGTGTACAATTGACTTACAACCACAATTGGGACCTTGATTGTTAAGTGAGTACACCCAACATTATGACCTTGTTTACCATGGTTAGTAAGCAAATCACTCAATTGCATGGCCATTAAGCAAATCCTGCATCCCTCATTGACTTTGCTTGTTGGAAGTCAACTGGGAAGGTGAGAAATGGCAATCACATGACCCTGGGATGCTGCAACCATCATTATTAAAGTGTCCAAAGTTTGATCACGTGACCATAGAGATTTTGTGGTGGCATAAGTGCCCTAATCATCTTTGTTGCTCTTCTCTGCACTCTTTCTAGAGTCTCTACATCTTTTCTACATCGTGGTGACCAAACCTGAATGCAGTATTCCAAGTGTGGCCTTACCAAGGCATTATAAAGTAGTATTAACACTTCACGTGATCTTGATTCTGTCCCTCTATGCAGCCTAGAACTGTGTTGGCTTTTTTGGCAGCTGCTGCACACTGCTGGCTCATATTTAAATGGTTATCTAGTATGACTCCAAGATCCCTTTCACAGTTACTACTGTTGAGCAAGGTACCACATATACTGTACCTGTGTTTTTTTCTTTTTTGTTGCCTAAATGTAGAACCTTACTCTTTTCACCATTGAATTTCATTTTATTAGATAGTGCCC